GATCACTGAGCTTTGCAGCTCTTTGTGGTTGAGTGAATAATGCGCATGCGCGGTTTTTCTTAGGGAAACATTCTAACTACGCATGCTTATGCAACAGGTTCTCGGTTAGAAAGCGTAACGGTCGTACATACAAACAAGCAGAATAATAGTGTAGATAGTTATGAAAATAACTGTTTACTAACCTAAAATTATGAATTCACTTTTATCTATCATCAAAAAGTATAAAATCAATATTGCAGTATGAAATACTCCACTCACAAGCGTAACTTCACACTTGCAAGCTGTCTCACTTTGTGGTAGTAGAATTAGTCATATTGACTAAATGGGACTTTTATTTCTATTTTTTAGACTGTTACCTTAAAGTAAGAGCATGCAACTACAGAACTGAAGCATTTGATTGTGTACTAAGCAGCAAAGATCAATTTGATATTTGTACGCGACATTGTGCAATATAGGCTAATATGTAGCAGTAGGAATTTTTTTTCTTACTGTATTAAACTTTCAGATCAGTGTGGTAACAGATTATCGGTTACTTATGAATATTAGGATTACTGTATATTGTTTGCACATGAGAAAATATTTCAAACTTGTAAATTTGTGCTGGGAGAGAGAGTACGTTTAACATTGTGCTCCATACAGTGGCGTTTCATTTCGTAAAGAGACTAACAGATGAGTATGTATGTAACTGTCTTGCCATTAGATACGTTATAAGTCATAATATCTCTGGAGATACAAGCTTGCATGTGCCCAAATGTTGGGGCACAGGTTGATATTGCAGGTTCATGATTCTAACCAACTGACATTTTCTTAAATGTAAGTTGGCTCCAGGAAGGCTCTAAAATAAAGGAAGAGTAGCGGTTATTTAATACCATAAACCCACCTGTATATAATTTAGAATACAGATATATCTTCTGTGTATGTGTACGTTTTTCTAATTCTTTATACTTTACTTTCCATTATTGCACGAGGACAAAAAATCTGCAGTTTAACATTTCTTACAAAACAGTTTGCAGAGAGATGCATCAAGAAGATGCAACATTTGTCATATTGCATGGAGTATGTAATCGTGAGACTGTTGCCATGCAGATTGATGTAAACAAACCAGAGTTTTCTGGTTCTGATGGGCTGCTCTTTCTTGTGTTTCTTTTATAGCTGGAAGTATACAGTTTTTCGTTTAGAGAGCTATCTTCAGCTACAGAAGAAAAAGCTTGTTTGAAAGTGTGTTTCTTCTCTAAACCTGTAGCCAGTCAGCCTTCCAGGAGTTTTGTATTCTATCAAGATACCTTCGCGCTTAAATTAGTTGCCTTCTAGTTGATTTATTTAAATGTCTGATCATTCTGGGAATAATACCTCAGTTTCATTTCTTGTTTATTTATTCATTTTTAGTCCAATAGGCTATCTGCGCTCTCTCTATATATCACGGGGAATCGAGCCCCAGATTTTTGTGTTGTAAATCCGAAACCTACTTTTGAATCACTGGATCACTAATATTTTGTAAATGTTAGTGTAAGATCTCTGCAACTAGTGTTTTCCATCATTCCTGCATCTTATATTTTGGGTTATTTCTGAGACCATCAACATTTACATAAGACATTTGCCAACTAAAAAGATGAAGGTTTTTTTGTGTGAACATCGATGGTTTAACACTCAATATAAAAATGTTCATTGGATTCGTGATCAATCGGCCATAAATGGGACTAATCCCATTTGCTTGAATGTGTAATGACGAGTTAGGAATGTCATATTTATACAACCTTTTGCTGTGCTTTACCAAGATTCCTACAAACAAAGCATAGTGAATGGTGTTAAGTAGTAACTAATGGAAGATTTAAGATAGTTTAAAAATAGCTTTTAATTTTTTCAGTGAAGTATTTACTATAATTTTATCTCTACTTTGTTTGTTGTAGGCTATTAATGATGAGCCTCTTATCCAAATACCAGAATGGATTAGGCCTAATAGCTAACGGCATTGTATATCTTTTATTTTAATTCTCTCTTACTTCTAGATATCATTCTCATCAATTATTTCAGCACTGCTTTCAGTTCCTTGCCCAATAGCTAATGCTCTGGATTCCAGTTAGCTATAAAAGAAGGAATAAGTGGCTGTTATTTGCATGTGATAATGACCTGTCACTTTTACATATGTAAATGTTGATGTGATTGTTTTGTCTCTTTTCAGATCACTCAACTTAAGATTGATCACAATCCCTTTGCAAAGGGTTTCCGAGATAGTGGAGCAGGCAAGAGAGAAAAAAAGTGAGCCAATTATTATCAACAAAACAATTTTTTTTAAATAAATATGTTTTTACAAATAGTTCTAATTGCTAATAACATATTTTATATGAACATTATTAATTAATATTTGTACATGTATAGAAAGAATTATCATTGTAAATGTATCTTGATCTCGTTTTGCGAAATACAGGTCATTTTTAATGTGGTTTCACTGCCATTGAATTGAAGCTTTTGATAGGGTACTCGTGATTGGAGCTTCTAAGTGGAGAATATAATAACTAAGTAGAATTGGTTAGTTTTTGTTTGTTTGCTGTCAAGCACAAAAATAAGCATTAAGCTCTCTGTACTCTGTCCATCTCGGATATCGAAACCCGATTTCTAGCGTTAAAAGCCTGCAGACTTACCTCTGAGCCACAGGGGGGCAGTATAGTTAAAACTGGAACTGGATTTTTAGCTTGAACGGTACTTTAAACGCACATGCATTAAATGGCCAGATCAGAGAGACCCCGGGGTTCAAACATAACCGACCCTAATTATAAACTACCGACTAGAGGAAAAGCAACCAGCCAATAGCAGCCACTGCTACAATCGGCTTTTTGAACCAAAATAACAAGATTTTATAGCGTTATTTACACTGATATATATAAAAATTAACAAAATCACACACACACAAAAATGAAAACGGATATTTTTATTTTATCATTCATTAGGTGAATTAGATAAGGAGCAATATATTTCCTCCAGAACAGTTTCAAAAAATAGAGCAAAATCTTTAGAACAATATCAACAAAACATCAGCGATACCTACTAATTCTGAGAACATTTATAAAAGAATTGCGTATTATACAGTTTTGTACCTCACTTACCTATGAATAAAACAATACATTTTATTAAATAGTTTAGTAGATTATAAGATATGATGCAGGCTATTATTGCTACTCTACTGTTCATGCTCCTTTACACAGAACTTCAGTATTAAATCTTAATCATTAATATGTGTAAATAATACTAAAGTAAAATTAAGTATGTAAAGTAGCGAGTTTTTCTCATTACAGTTTTTTTATCATTTGTAGAATTGTTACAAGTATATAAGGTACTGGAAAACAAAATAAACAAAGTACTTTTTGGGTTCAAGATGTTTGTATAGGCTTATTCACAGTAGAATCTTGCTCACAAATCAAACCTATCTGTATGTTATTTACACATCATAAAATACGCCCATTTAGAATTTAATTTGTGGTGCACCTTTGTATCATTTTGAAATCACATTTTTACCATTCTTTACGATTTGAAATGTATTTACTAAATATATTAAACGGCTCTAAGTAAGGTTTGGTTAACTTTTTTTTTTACGAATTGCGAAGTCAGATTATTTTTCTTTATAATAAAAAATTCAATATTTAAACGATTTGTCTTGTGAAATAAGCCGTTGTTAAAATAACACTCATATACATATTTATGTTATTCAAAAATGTACTGGTAAAAGCATAAACATTAATCTAAATAATTATGGAAACACTTGAAATTAATACACGAACAGGAGTCAAAATCAATATGTAATGGAACTAGATGGTGAATTTAATAATGTTACAAAAGCATTATCCTTAGAAAATACAAAAGAAAAGCAAACAATGTACTAATATTTTCTATGTGAGCACTTTTTTTTACATAAAGGATTATGTTTTGTTTTCATGCTTTCATATCATTTATCAATATACAACTGTGGAATATTGTTTTAAAAATCCTATTACTCCCTGTACTGGGTCATTGTCTTGTTGGAAGCTGAGTCTCTGCCAGATAAGTCATGTTCCTGAGGGAATGGGATAATGGATCAGGTACTTGCCAGTACATGTAATCAGTCAGGATGCCATCAATTTTGTGTAGATTACTGATACTGTTGGCTAAGAAGCATGTTTCGCCATAGATGTTATACACTGAATATGATACTACTCTCCTCTCACACTGCTGTTGATTGTTGCCAAAGAATTCCAATTTGGATCCATCTGCAAACAGCACTCCAATTCCCATTTCAACCTTTTGGTTGAATTGCTTCTGCTCACCAGTGGTTTTCGAGCAGTTACACTTTCAAGGAAAGCATTCGTTGTAGCGTGTATTATTTTACTTTTCTCAAGGTAATATTCATACCTGTATTTACAGCAAGCTTTTGGCAAAAATCTTTAATCGATCGTCTTTTATCTCATAGATAACATACCCCAGATTTAACATCACTTCTGGATAGTTTTGGTTTTCTAACTTACCCACTGCTATAATTAACAGTACCCGTTTCACGCACCTTCATCATAGTTTTCTATACAGATCCTTTAGGAGTAGGGAGTCTTGCTGCATTTTTTTTCCACATGAAGTATCCATGACCAGCTAAATCTTTGATTTCTACATGCTTATTATGCGATATTTCTGTTCCGGAAACCACAAATAGAGCACACTACTCGTACTGGGCATAAGACGATTGTTTGTATCATTATGGGTTTTATCCTGCTGTGGCTCTTTCTGATAGGTTAGATGACAGTAAATCATAGTGTAAATTACCAACACATGTACTCTGGCACAGCTAATTTTTTCTCTATGAACAGGTGGCAGACAGATGGCATTACCATAGTATTTGCCTTTTTATACTTTTTTTTTTCTTCGCCGTTTCAATAACTATTTCCAATACTGTATGTATATATTTTTAATAAAGCCCTCCAGTGATGCAACGGTATGTCTGCGGACTTATTTTGCTAGAAACCGGGTTTCGATACCCGTGATGAGAAGAGCACAGATAGCTCTTTGTGCTTAATAACAAAGATCAACAATTTCTAATAAAATAATACTTTGATCAAAATGTATAAATGCACTTTTATATTAATGAAAATGTATTTTTTACAATATACGTGAAATATATGTGTGTGTATATATATATATCAGTTCTTGTAGAGTAAAATGTTAAATTGTTTGGGTATTATACTTTTATGTGCAACTCTGTACTAGTGAAATTACTTATTTGAATAAATATGTACATATAACTTAGAAATTGTTGTTCGTTTAAGCAAAATAAATTTGTTCAGTATCTTAAACAACGTATGCAAGCTTAACTCTTTTCAATGAAAAGTGAAATGCTTTGGAATGTAGTCTTAGAGTGGGTAGGCCCCCACTTTACAAACAGACCATATGAATGAATATGTTTTTTCATCCCTACAGACGACAAGTGATGTTACTGAACCAGCAGCAACAACAGCAGTCTCAGTTTCGTCTTGTTGAAAGTACTACACACAGTAAAGGAACTCCCGAGTTTCTTGAAGACTCCAGTGACGAAGATGAGCGTCTGGATGTAGGGGGCGCTGCAGATTTAAAACCACAGGTACCGAAGTTGTCATCATCTATAGTAGGAAACGAAGATAACAAAGGTTTGTTTTTCTACGTTTATTAATTTTTTTTCTATTTTCTTTTTTCCTTAGAATTAAATAGCTTGTTTTTGTTTGTGTTACTCGATAATTGAGATTTTACATCATTTCCTTTTACGGTAAAGCAACCATGGGTAGATGTTAGACATATGTAGGAAGTTTCTTTGTTATCTTGTTATAGCTTCTTATTTTGCAGTTATTAAATGTTCTGCTTAACAAGTTCTTCATCCATAAATTCGCTTATTAACTCTATTGTCTACTGCAATTGTTTACAGAAACGATAACTTATATCTGAGGTAATTCATTGCAATTGTTTTTATTTATGAATAATAAGAAATTTTATCAATGAACGATGATGACAAATACCTTTTTTTACATTTTCGTATGTGTTTTTAGCAAATAATCCCAGTTTCTTACTAAGCTGATGAGAAAAAAAGAGGCAAGATAAGAAAAACCTAACTTTTCAATCCAAAGTTAAAGTTACAGTCTAAAGTAGGTTATAATCCAGATATAATAGTGAGCATTTATAACATTAAACGTTTCGTAGAGACAGCTTTAGGTTTTCCTTTTTGATACCTTATCAATACTACTCTAGGTGATAGTCCGAAAGAAGATGGTGGGATCACACGACAATCATCAACTAGTGAAAGTGAAAATCATCAGCAAGAAGGAAGTAGGTGTTCGAGTATAATGTCGTCTCCGGGTACGTCGTTGTTCTTTGGCCATCATTTTCAGCCAAAATCAAGCGATGAAAGGCACCCACTTTTCCAAAACCCTCAAATAGTCACTCAGTTAGGGCCAAATATTACTATGGATCCAAGGTTTTCTCGCCCTCACTTCTTACCCTACTTGTATTCCCCCGCCTTGTATCCGCAACTATTCTTTCCACCCAACTCCACCCAAGCCAGCCAACTGTACCCGCTACTAGCCAACAGTTACCAAGGTTTAGCTGAATTCAACTCCCGCCTCCGTCCGCATAATCGATTTTCCCCTTATGCTATCCCCCCCACAAACTCATCATCACTCTGTGTTTCCTCACGCCATGAAACTAGTCCTGCGCATCATTCTTCTCCCTTGCATCTAAAACTTAACAGCACTACAGTTGCGACGACAACGTCACGAAGTTCACCCACTCTGTTACAGGAAGTCTCCACACATCCTTCTACAAGTGGAAGCAGTACAACCGCTGCTACATGTGAAATCAAAAATATTGAGAATATGCTAAATGGACTCGAACGACGGCAAGACCAATTAGCAGTCGAGGCTTTGGCAAACCTACCGGAAAAACGGCATTGATAACACTCCCAACCAAGTCTTGGCAAAAACTAATTAATAATTATAAATTGAAGGAGATATTATCGTATACGACTTTCTATCTGATGCTTCTGATACTGATGTTATGTAATTAAATTCACTTTTTTCTGAGACACCTCTCATAAAAGTAGAGCTACTCTTTTTGTTTTATGTTCACAATAGTTTCAGACGGTGAATACATCAAATATCTTGTGTGTGTGATGTAGGAAAATGCTTAAATTACCCAAAATGGCTCAAACCAAAGATTAGAGATAGAAAACCATATTATTTTACTGTGAATTGGGATTTTAAAATTGCTTGATGTACAGCCTGGTTGGTGCTTTATTAGTCACATACTAGTTAAGGCGGTATTCTGTCATTCACTATCAAGAATATAGAAGTAAATAACACAAGAAACGGTTTATAGTTAAACCTGTAATCGTCCTCCGGAACATTCTGCATCAAGTGATCGTTCCTTCATTTCTCTTCACGGTGCCTACCAGCCAATAACGTCAGTGTTATTCGTGTACATTTAAAATGTGTACGTGTCGCTGATATAGTGTTAAAAAAACTTGGATCTCCGAGGCCTTACTTAACTCTTCTTTCTGATGTCATTTTATTAGAATATGCACGTTTGTTAACTCTGATGCAACCTGTTTATGTATCATATTGTGTGCTTTTCTAGTTTTGTAAATAATCACTTCCTACCTTTTTCATCGTGATAGCTGTGCACATAAACTGTAGTTAAAGATATAAAAATTAACATGTTACTTGTGAATATTAAGTAAGATAGTCAAATGTTCAGTATGATCCCAAATTGTTGTAATTATACATGCTTATAGATTGTGAATAACATAAATATATGTTACAAGTCAGGAAAAAAATCCTAACACAATGACACCAATTTGTTGTAATATTTATGGAGATAAATGAATACAGATGTCTTTGAAATCAAATATTTTCTTAAGATACACAAAGAAATTCTCTCATTTTCAAGAGCGAGCGTACCAAATATTCCAGGGTCTCTAGTACGTTGCCACGATGCTATAGCTAACCTCAACCCATTTAGAAAAAAAAAAAAACAGATGTAAATCTGAAAATAGAAGTAGCTGCACTCATGTATGCAGAATTCTTTCGAGTCAACGTTGCTGTAAAAAAATCATTGATACTATGCTTACTTCGAATGGGATATCACTTTTACCAACAACATCACCTCTAACCAATTCCTGTGGTGAAATATTAAATAGTGCGCCTGTTTGTTTCACGAGAATCGAGGTATCTGTTTCTTTCTCAGAATTATAATTCTAATATCTGATCATAAGCTAACACCAAAATGATTTGTCTGAGAATCAATTTAATAATGTGATTACACTACAGAATAAAGTAGGCATACCAATAGGGATTCCTGTTACCTACAGTCTGGTAATTGATAATCTGAAATAAAAAATAGTATATATATACATAATATGAATTGACGACTCACCCCCTAAACTATCCTAAAAATATGTTTCTAATTACTTTAAGATGATTGTTCTGAATGCCCTTCTCTCCCTCCCCTCATGGCCGAATAAAGTTTTGTGGTGGTTGACATTCCTCTCAGTCTGAGATCGATGTCTGTTATGATAGGCGCCTTCTCGTCTGGGTAGATAACTGTTTTAGTCTCACCTTCTGGCCAAAGTAGTAGCAGCTGTTATGGCGATCACCACGAGTTCTATTTTTTACCATATTATTATAGACGAGTGATATGGAATCTTTATCTAAAGCTCGATTAGATGGTTGTTTTGACTGTCTCTAAGAAACTGGGTAAGGCGGATGGAGCGTGGTATACTCCCAGGGAGTGAGTTTTGTCATGGTCTTTTTTCTGAAGTTTGGGGGTGTCATTCTCACACTCATTGGACTGTTGTAATGGATTTTCACTAATATCTACGTAGATGAATGATTTGGAAGCCTGCTTCTCACTCCTGGGGGGGGGGGTAATGTTTTGAAGATATCGTTAGAGACTGCGTCGCTAACTATTATGAAGCTGGTCCCTTTACCTATATCTACAGAACAGACTACCTTATAAAGGCCCTTCTAGAAAGACTGGGTAAATGGCTGTTGTAAAGATTTCTCTTCTATCCCAGAAAAATTTCCGTTGTGAGGGTATTACTTTTTTTCAATTAGAATAATGTTCTGGAGGTCTAGATTAGTTACCGTGCTTGTAACTGGGTTTAGTTGAAACATTATATTACACTTTAGGGTACCTTTTAACGTTTGTTGTTCTTTGTGCCTAGAAAATAATGCCTGTGAATAGGAAACAATATTATGTATACTCTGTTTCCAGAAGTCTTGATGTAAACCCAAATCATCCTTGTTTGTCAGTTAGGGATACTTTAAGGGTAATCTTTGTGTTCTGTAAGACTGGAAAAACACCTAGCATGGAAAACATCTAATAATATGCATTGAAACAAATTGACCAGTACTGACAATTAATTAATTGTTGTGCTATATGACGAAAAGTTAGTGACGTATTCACACACATACACGAGGAAATGTTTCTGTCGTAGCGCATTAAAACTAAGAAACAAGCTATTTTATCAATGAAACTAGAAGTCCACATATATTAGAGCGTTTTTAAGGTTTTTATTTTTATTTGTGAGTTGATATGTGTGCAAGATAACGATACGACTGCACCTATTTTTTTTATCCTCTTTTATCTAGATCAGTTTACAACGTAAAGTCCTGCGCCAACTTTATGTTCTGTAGAACTTGAGCAAAATTTTGTAGTTAGCTCTATGTCGTTTCTAGGTAACCCGCCCCCACGTTTTATGGTACCCTGAAAACACATGATGTGTTATCATATTTAATAGAGTTGGGCAGGAGAATGGAAACCCAGCTCGTGGACCAGCAAACAGTAAAGAGACCTTTAATAAAGGCGTCAATTAATATTTTAGAAAGACCTTCGTAGTCAGAACACCAAGGTGTTTGTTTTGTTTTTCCTGATTTGTTATCACCAAGAATGTATGTTTTGTACATAAAACCTCACCAGTTATTTATTTAGTACACATATGTATTGTCGTCTTTTGTATAATAGTTATTTAGTCTTATTTTTTGTGCTTCAATAAAGTGGTGAAATATTTCCAAACAATTTGCTTCGTATTGTTTTTCATTTAATAGTTTTTCATGACAAACATATTCATTACAGGTACACGTCTTTTTCACTGAAACGATTCACGCAGAAGCATTACTACGGGCTTTCACACACTTTTTCCAAGGAAACGATATCGTGATGAACATAGATAAAGTTTAAATGTTTATTTGCATTTCAAAAAAAAATATTTTCAATCTTTGAACTATGTTACTTTTCAAATCAAACGATTTAAAAATAAGACAATACAAAGCTTGTGTTAGACTGGTTTCACTCATCTGAGTCTTATGTAGAAGTGACAAACAATCATCCCACTGTAATGTCTACAGAAAAGAGGTAAATGTGTTTACAGCTGTTGTTGATTCATGAGATAAATTAATTTGTATGTATACTGGATTTACTCGTCAGAAAATTATAAACTATGAGCATCACTTATAAGATCCTCTCACAATCATTAATATTCAACACGATATGACATACTTTTTGATATTAATCTTTGCTTTCAATTCATTAAGGCAAAATAAGAATAAGGCCTTTGTAGAAATTACTTTATTTTAGCCAAAGGTTGATTGAAAAGACGTGACTGTACGATATCGTTTCAAGACTGTCATAAAAATAAGGGAAAAAGTTATGGTTAAATTAACCTGAATAATTTTTTCATTTCATATTCACCTTCTACTGAGCCAAAATAATAATTTTGACAATTTCATTAAACAGGTTACAATAAAGAAAAATATATTTGTTTATAATTTAGGAAATTGCACATTAATGTCTTAAAGTACGAACACACATAATGGCTTCTAAGGTTCAGTGTGCAGTTTATACATGTTTGACCAAAACAAACAGGAATAAATAATTAGAAATATATATATAACGTATATATATATATATATATATATAGTTATTTTAACGAAACCATTACCTAACGTCACCGGTAGGAAAACTCGGCGTGTGTCGCTGGTGAATAATGAAGGACAAAGTTAGCTAGCTCCCTGGTAAGTGAATT